CTCAAAGAGAAAATGAGAGAGATGATGATTCTGAGGCCACCCTATCCCAGCCATATTATTCACATATCGAGTCCCAACAACAACAGTGTAGGATGAACACGACAGTGCAGGTGAGCATGAAGGATGGACAATCTTCGGGGATTTTAGATTGGGAACACAACAAAACACTAACACTCAGGGATTTGGGAATAGTCAGATGCCTGTTAATATCGATGATTCGTTTTTAGATCGAATCAATGAATTGTTAAACGAATTCAATCAATGACACCAACGTGATCAAGAAGAACAATAACGTCGTCTATCATTTTATTTTTAGATCATATGTTACTAATTTTATGCTTTATTGTAGTCCATGTATGTTGATATACTTATTCCATGATAATTGTATGTTTATCCTTTTGTGTGATGTAAATTAAATGCTGAATGGCGGTTCATGCAGGGAAAGAACATATCAATATTGGCATATTCATTCAAAAACATGAAAATTCTTAATGGAGTACCCTCATTTCTTATGGAATTCCTAAAAAATAATATTTATAATGAATTTTAATAATTTTTTCGGATTTTTTTTAAGTTTTATTCCGACCGATTCACCCGATTCCCGATCCAGATCGCCGATTCGCCGATCCGAATCGGTTTTTTGGAAGCCCGATCCGGATCACCGATCCGTTTTTTAAACCATTGATTGAAAAGGTTGCTTGCAAGAACTTACAAGATGCACTTGTTTAAGTACATGCCCCAATTTAGAATATCTTGGCGCCTTTGAATTGTGAGGTATTTGGGGTAAATTTTTTGTTCTCTCTTAATAATTAGAAACAGTATATAGGAAGTCATACGCTTCAAGTGGAATGCTATTATTGTACCTTTCCAACAATCGAAATATTAATCCATCAACTTCTGCTGCCGAGTCTCTTTCCCTATAGTTGTTAGACAAAGTGCTATTGTAATTTTCTTAAATATATTATGCTTTATGGGTTTAAAATATCTTTTCATTGCTTTTCTAGTTTTCTTCAAGTTTATTCGTGGGATTGTTGAGGGGAGGAATCGCGCATGCTTGAGGAATTTATAGAAATTTGAGAATGGACTATAAGCAACTGAATTGTTCTCCATTCAAACCATAAAGCCACCAAAATATCACGCCTACTCCTTCAGCTTTCAACATTCAACATTCAAACCACATAAGAATATCTAATGCTTGAGAGAGACAAATAGAGGGTTCCAAATCACATTAACGTACAAATATATTAATTTGAATATTGTTGTTCCATAGAATAGAAGATAGAGAACTATAAGTGTAAGCAACTATAAGTATATATATACCTTAAAACATATACCCATCTTTTTTACAAAACAAAGAAGGCAAACATCAATATCATAAATAAAATTACATATGAGAGTAATTTTTTGAATATCTACTTTCTCGGGGACTATAGCAACAGATTTATGATTCTCTTTTTCAAATAGAGATGCATCTACTCCATCACCAACACAACCATCCGGCTTTCGGCTTTAGAGGCACGAAGCTTTTAACTACATGCTGCTTATCTTCACCTAGAATTTCATCACACCACTTCACTTGGAATTTCATGTTTCTTATCTTCACCTAGAATTTCATCGCATCACTTCACTTAAAATTTCATGCTTCTTATATTCACTTAGAATTTCATCGCATCACTTCACCTAAAATTTCATCACACCACTTTAGATATCCTCATCCAGTCTCATCCTAACAGTTAACACCAATATGCTTTTACATTATGTTAATGAATGAAAAGTATATGAAAAAAAAAGAAAAAAGGTAGGAATGTTTTATGAGCTAAAAAAAATAAAAAAATTTCATTTTAAAACATAGTGACAACAAGACATCAAGATGATGTCAAACATTGTGAAATTGGAATCAAAGGACAACAAGATTGTCAAAGTTGCCAATGGGAGAAAGAATGCAAGCCTAAAATCAAATCTTTTATGCATGTTCAACAGAGAACTTATGATACTCATGTGGCAAATAAATCTATTGCTAACTTTTTCAATTTTAACAGAGAACTTGTAGCCCAAATGATTTTTGAGTCTTATACAGAGGACAAAAACCCAACTTTCTAGACCATCAACAATCAAGTTAGGTCCTGTGCCTATAGATGTCTCACTAAGAAGAAAAGGAGGGTCAACGAAGTCCCAGGTAACCTTGTCGAAGAAAATTTGCACGGGGTCAATTGATTCATCAAATATCAATCCTGAACCATAAAAACATAATATCAAAGTCAAAAAGGAAAATGACACAAACAAAGGTGTGTATCTTTCAGCAACAAGTAATTTCAGTCAAATTAACGAATTCTAATCTATTGCTAACTTTTTCAATTTTTTCTAGCCCAAAAACTGGACTTTTCCTACGCAATATTGGGATGCCAATTTTTATACTTCGGTTTGGAAATCCATCAAACACTTCAAATTCAACCTCCTCCTCTACAAAATTTTGAAATAATTTCCCATTTTTAAATTTTCAATTTATCCTACCAAAATGATGATCTAATTGACTTATTTATGATCCAATAAATTGCAGAGAAAAATCAGCAATTGCACAGAAAAATCAGTCAATATAATTCAAGAAACTCTCAATGGAACACTCTCCAAACTAAGATCAATCAAATATGAATAAATCCTTCAAACTGTAGAATCAATCTAAACTACCTGGCTGTAAATGAAGCAAGAAGAAGGGGCTTGAGGAGGGCCAGAAATCATGGAGGATTTCTTTCACTAAAGCCTATCAAATAAGAGAGAGAGTACCTTTAGAGATGGGCTTCAATGGTTGAACAGAGAGAGGAAGTTCCACCATGTAGAGAGATAAAGTTGGGTTTTCCTGCTACAGAGAGAGAGAGGGAGGACTACCACCAAAAGAGAGAGAGGGAGTTCCACCGTGTAGAGAGAGAAAAAGTTCGGGTTTTTCTACTGCACTGAGAGAGAGGGACGACCGTCGCATAGAGAGAGGAGTTCCTCTGTGTAGAGAGAGAAAGTTCGGTTTTTCTGCTGCATAGAGAGAGAAGGAGAACCACAGCGTAGAGAGAGAGAGGGAGTTCCACTGTGTAGCAAGAGAGTGGCAGGGAAGAAGACAACCAGGAGAGAGAGAGGGCACGTTGTTTTCGTAAAGAGAGAAGAGAAGGCGCGTTGTTTCTGGAAGAGAGAGAGAGAATCGTGCATAGGAGTACTCATTCACTACACTGTCGGGATTATCATTAAATTAGAGTTAGATGGGACTTGATTTTTCTATATATGTGTTCGAAATTTAATGGTGATCTTTTGAAGTCCTATACATAGGTATGGGAGGGTCTCACAATATATATATAAATATAAAAG